GATCGCGGCGGTCGGCGCGCCGGTCTCCCCCCGCCGGGTCCGCCCCCGGGCCCGCGGTTCCGCGCGGCGCCTCGCCTCGGCCGGCGCCTAGCAGCCGACTTAGAACTGGTGCGGACCAGGGGAATCCGACTGTTTAATTAAAACAAAGCATCGCGAAGGCCCGCGGCGGGTGTTGACGCGATGTGATTTCTGCCCAGTGCTCTGAATGTCAAAGTGAAGAAATTCAATGAAGTGCAGGTAAACGGTGGAGTAACTATGACTCTCTTAAGGTAGCCAAATGCCTCGTCGTCTAATTAGTGACGCACATGAATGGATGAAAGAGATTCCCACTGTCTCTACTTACTATCCAGTGAAACCACAGCCAAGGGAACGGGCTTGGTGGAATCAGTGGGGAAAGAAGACTCTGTTGAGCTTGACTCTAGTCTGGCACGGTGAAGAGACATGAGAGGTGTAGAATAAGTGGGGGGCCCCCGGCGCCCCCCCCCGTTCCCCCGGGGGGGGGCGGGGCGGGGGTCCGCCGGCCTTGCGGGCCGCCGGTGAAATACCACTACTCTTATCGTTTTTTCACTGACCCGGTGAGGCGGGGGGGCGAGCCCCGAGGGGCTCTCGCTTCTGGCGCCAAGCGCCCGGCCGCGGCGGCCGGGCGCGACCCGCTCCGGGGACAGTGCCAGGTGGGGAGTTTGACTGGGGCGGTACACCTGTCAAACGGTAACGCAGGTGTCCTAAGGCGAGCTNCGGCGACCGGCCGCCGCCGGGCGCATTTCCACCGCGGCGGTGCGCCGCGACCGGCTCCGGGACGGCTGGGAAGGCCCGGCGGGGAAGGTGGCTCGGGGGGCCTCGTCCCCTCCTCTCCCTCCCTCCCCCCGTCCTCCTCCTCCTCGTTTCCTCCTCCTCGTCCTCCTCCTCCTCCTCCTCCCGAGGTGGCGGGGCGGGCGGGGCGGGCGGGGCGGGGTTGCGGGGTCGGGGGCGTGGGGGGAGTCCGGGGGGGCGGGCTCACCCCCCGAGTGTTACAGCCCCCCGGCAGCAGCGCTCGCCGAATCCCGGGGCCGAGGGAGCCAAGACCCGTCGCCGCGCTCTCCCCCCTCCCGGCGCCCACCCCCGCGGGGGCTCCCCCGCGAGGGGGTTCCTCCCCCGCGGGGGCGCGCCGGCGTCTCCGGGGGGGCCGGGCCGCCCCTCCCACGGCGCGACCGCTCTCCCACCCCTCTGCCCCCTCTCCGTCGTCTCCCCCCGGGCCCCCGCGCCCGGTCGGCGGCGGCGGCG